CCGGAAGCCTCAGAAACTGGAAGAGACCAAGTCCCTTTAAACTTCTGAGAGGCCCCGGGATCACACTAAATAATTTCCCTGGCTGCTCCAAATGCCGTTGGAATGTTTTTAGCCAATTGTATGATGAGTGAGTCAGGAATCACGTAAGACAGGTTTAACACAATAGGGGTGCAGGATGGGCTGGCAGCGGATCACGCTCCTAACCTCTCACGCAATGCTGTTGCTATTGATTAATCGTCCACATGAAGGCGGCAAGATGTCGAAGAAGAAGGGGAAGAGTGGAGAGGTGGGAGGAACAGCTGACATTTTCTAAGTCCAAGTTTTCTAATGGGCTGGTGGGGAGCCAGAAAGGCGGGTACCGTATGTGTTGACCTCATGGTCACTAAAAAGTCGCAACTGCTCTGTCTCTGGCCAAACAAGAACTTGCTCTGGGTCTGGATTTGCCATTGTTCGCAACATAGACGCACTGTGAGAATGTGACACAGCCAGGGTGTCAAGGAGATGAGGGAGCACCATTTGGACAAGGGAAGGGCTGACACGGGGGAGGGGAGTGAGCGAAACCAACCTGAGACATGACAAAGGCAGGCTCTGTGCAATCTGCCTGGAAGTCCTCTGAGTTTACCTTGGGTCACTGGATGGAAGTGGGCTCACCAGGTCACATAGTTCATTAGTTAACCCAGTAATTAATTGTGATTCATAGAATAGTGACATAAGGATTATTCACAATTATGCAAAGTGACAAGAAAAGGCTGGCTTTAAGTGCAGTGGCCTTTGACCTCAACTGATACACAAAAATCATAACAAGTGTTCCTGTTAAAGGCTCAGGGTGCTCCTACCTGCCTTCAAGTGGGACTAGTGGAATGTCAGAGTTTGGGGAGGGAACAACAAGGACTCATTTGGGGCTTTTGAAATGTGTTTTCTCATTAACTAAGTCACATCTACGGGTTTGGAGAATGGGTGTGTCTGGGATGAAGGAGGGATGTCACTATCCTCACGCCAAAACTGGGGAAGCTGATGCTATTCTGCCCTTCCATTTTGGGCTGGCTTTGCAAGAAACTGGTACAGTTAGATTTCACTTCTAAAATGTAAATAACCCTGGGAAAGTTAAGAGACTCAGCAATTCACAGATTAGTGTGAAATGGCTTAACCTCACAGCGTTTCTTCCAACACCTCTTGATCATTGAAAATGCAGATGTTTTCAAGGGGCTGGGGGAGGACGGCAGAAGGAGGTAGAAACTGATTATTTATTTACTTAGGCCTACCCCAGGGAGAAGACCCTGGGTGAGATGTGAATTGGGGGTGAAGAAGGAACAGGTTTGAGCATAAGGGTCATTAGAGAGGAAAAGGAGTACTCTGCAAGGAAGATAGAAGGGGCCTAGAACAAGGTGGGTCTTCCGTTGTTGTGGTTTTTTCCTCTTTGAATGTATGTCTGGGTTGGGTGTGTAGGTCGAACTGTTTGAAAACCAAACTCCACACATCTGGATGCGTGAAGCAGGGCTGAAGCTAGGGAATGAACCAGAAACACTTTTAAGCCCCTTCCTTTCCTATGAGGCTACTCTACCCTTTGCCCAAGAGGCCTCAATGAATAATTGTAGCTTTTTTGCAGGAAAAAAACAGAAGGACAGCTGCTGTTCATTTCACGACATCCAATTTGGGTGGTATTTATTGAGCCTTATGTGTAAGGCACCTTCCAGACAATGTCCCAGCCCCACACAGCACTTGCCCCTACGACCCGCCCCGCCTTAGAAAAATCTGACCACAGAACTCCTCCTGGGCTGGGATGGAAGCCTCCTTTGGTTCATGGGTTCATTGGGAGGGGCCAGGCCACGAGGCCTCAGCCAAAGCCAGCTGCCCTGACGTCTTGGTTCCTCTCCATGTGACTCTGACGCTGACACTATGCAGGTTGCTATAGAACTGCTAGAGATACATGTACGAGCATGTTAGAGGATTTAAAGCATTATTTCAGAATGAGGGAAGAAGGGAAAAAAGACAAAGAAAGGCTTTCCTGCTATCTTTATGATTTTTACTTTTGTTTTCCTGTTTTTCTGAGAGTCGGGAATAGGAAGTGCTTTCTTCTGTATATCAAGGAACTCAGGGCATATGAATAAAACGAGGCAAAAGAACACATAAAAAAAATAAGGCTATAGCCCCCCCCACTGCATCAGCTGCACACAGAGAGGAAGCGAAACAGGATGTGTTTCCAGGGCATCTGTGGGAGAAGAGACAAAATCTCTCTCTTCACCTCCAGAAATGCTGCCTTTCCCAAACTGCTTTTCAAGTTTTCCTCCTGGAAATGTGAAACGACGTGATCGGAGCCCTCTGTTGGGATCGATGGCCTTGTGTGTGCGGCAGCTTTCAGGGGGGCTGCGGCCAGGCTCCTGGGAAGGTGAACGGGAGAGTGGGGCGGGGAGAACACGCTGAAGCCGAGGCCCCGTCGTTTCTTCTGCTTGAGAAATGCTACTCCAAATATGGCTCCAGAAAATGAAAGCCCAGAGGGGGTGCAGAGAGAGTGAAAACACTTAAATTTTCTTTTTTTAAAAGTGGGAATTATTCACTTCAACTGCAAAGAAGAAATTGCCCTGAAAAGAGGGAAAAGGCCTGAAAGTACCCCCCAACCTCCCCAGCTGGGCTAAGTGCTGGGACAAACAAACAAAATGACTGATGTGATCAGTAAATCATCTTCGGCTGGGGGAAGGGTTTGAATAGAGGCGCAGGAAGAAAGCAGAAGCCAGGCAGTGTTAGCCGATTCCAGCAGAGGCAGTGAGCAGCAAGGGGCCTGGGCTATGGGATCCATAATTGGCTAACGAATAATAAAGCCCAAAATTGGATATTAACAGCAATTAGTTTCTGTAGAGGCACTGGAGAAAAGAGCTGCAGAAAACCCCATTGGGCCTTAAGCTGGAGCAATCTGAAATTAAACCAGTGTCTCAATTAAATGGGAATAAATATTGCTACATCAGTCTGTGTACGTGTGGGAGGCGGCTGAAGTGGACCCCCTGTGAAGTCCAGGTGCACCTTCCTGTGTCAGAAGCTTTCAGTGGTACGACCTTTGTGAGACACGTTCTGGTCCTGACCTCTGGCCTCTAGAGGCCAACTGGCCCCCCTTCCTGGGGTATATGACCTTGAGCCCGGCCTCAGAAGGTTATTTCAGGGCACTGGCCAGTTAAGCCACAGGAACCTTACATCACTAACTCTGCAACCTGGTGGGCCCCTGCAGATGAGGAAAAGGATGGAGCTTAATGCTTTTTAAAACCAGAGACCGTGTATAGTCCACCGCACCTCTTTGCCCTGGGGCAGGGCCCGGGGTCTGGAGGTCCACGAACACAGAAAGAGCATGTCTGCTCCTCTCTTTCAAACCAGCTTTCAAGCGGCTTCATCCCCTCCGGCGCAGGATCCGAGACTGGCGTTGACTGAAGGAGATGTGTGTCATTTCCTTCTGGGAAGGGGCATTTGTTGTTTCGGCTTCTTTGGAGTGTGGTGGGGGTGGGGATGGACGTGGCGTTGGGGGCGGTGGATTGCTGCTGGGTCCTAGGGACAGAGGCCAGGCGCCTGGGCCCTGTCGCTGAGGGTCTGGCGGAACGAGGAGGCTGTGTGGCGTAAAGGGGAGTCAGGCAGGATATGCCTAGGCGAAAAGTCCTCCTACCTCCCGGCACCACCCCTAAAGTGCTTTCACTCTTGCGCTCCGCTGGTGGGGAGCCAGGGAGTGGCTAAGAAGTGACATTTCGGTCGGTCGCAATCCTTTCCCCACCTCCTCCTTCGTGGGCGCGCGCACCGACCCGTTTTCTCGCACATTCTGAGGCTTTCTGGGGGTGCAGAAATCTCATCCTGGAGACCATTTGTGGACTAGAGACAGGCCCAGAGGGGGAAGAGGGCAGAGGGTCAGCCAGTGCCAGGCGCCGAGCCCTCCCTCGCAGAAGCCAGGCCGGCTGCGCGGCGGGGAGGGCGCGGCGACTAGGCCGAGGCCTGCCGCTGGAAAGCGCATGGGCCTTGGAGGGAGGACGTTTCATTCTAACCAGGCCTTTGGTTGGGCGTGACCCATTCTTCTAAGCCAAAGATGCACCCCATCCCCGACCCGTCCCCATTCCTACTCCCAATTCCCTAATCGTCTCTAACGTTGCTCGTCGATGTCCACCTGGCGATGGAGTGAAATTGGGGAACCGAGGTGCGCGGAAAAGAAAAAGAAAGGTGGACTGTCCAGGCACTGTCCCTGGCATTGGTGGCTCCGTGCTGAGGGCACCCTGTACCTCGGATCAGTCCGAAGCTTTGGAAAATGCGGATGACCCAGGTCTTTGGGGCCTCCCGTTTCTTGATTTCCGCAAGAGGGAAAAAATCAAAGCCCAGAAAACAGGAGCTAAAAGGAAAAAGGAAGCCAGAGCCCGTTCATCTTCACCTCGCTCCATTTAGATGTCTCAGGGACTTAGGAGTAAAAGGTGGGGTGAGGGGAAGCCCTGGGGGCAGGACCGCGGGCCTGGCGGGGTGGCAAGGCCGAGCCCGGAGGACCCAAACACTCGGATCTGCACCGTGAATGGCTTTAAAAACATTCCAAGTAGCAGCAAATTGAATTTCCGGCGAAAATATTGCCTCCTCTGACCCAGGTTTTCATTTTGTTGGGTAACATTTCCATTTTAAGACAAAAGGAGAAGGGTAAGAGAATGAGGTGAACGCATTGAGAACTGCTGACACTTCCTTTCTGACCTGGAACATTCCTTGCTCTCAATAAGGCCTTCTTTTTTTTTTTTTTTTCCAGGCCATCTAAATCTGGTGCAGCTCTCCCCAGGCCTTCCGCAGACCCGCATTCCGTGGCACAGAACAGCACACACCGACTCCCAGAAATCCCACTTGAAGTCCTTTCTCTTGTTCTGTGTCTACACTGGCCATGCAATTCAGTATTAAATCTATATATTTTAAAACGGATGTCAAATTGAGTAAGACCTGGCAGAAACGCTCAAACGAAAGAATGGTAGAGGGATTTGGAAGAAAAAAAATCTTTATTAGGTACCATAATTCTTATAATTGTTACTGTTGACACGCACATCACCATGAATCAGCCAGCCAAGCCTCAAACACACAGACTGCAGCACAACCTTCAGCTCCCGTTGACTCACGGGCCGAGAGCCACCCACAGAGGAGAGGAGGAAGGGAGGCTCCATCTGTCTTAGGGAGAATGCTTTGCAGCAGCCCCCAGAGAACTCCATTCTCAGGTTAGAACAAGGGGTGGGGGTGTTATGTAAGTTCAGCAGAGGGAAATAGAAAAATTATTTCCCCGTGGAGACAGTATAGATGGATGGATTTGTGCGTGCGTGTGTGTGGGTAAATGCTTTTCTATAAATACTAGCAATGGATATGGTTATGCAAACAGATACGGTTGTGTGCTATGTATGTGTGTATATGAGCTTTTTCCTGCTGAGAAATTACCCCTTCCCCAAATATTTCTCTGGCTAAGCCTCCTCATGCGTCCACAGTCACTGTCCCCCATTTCCACCTCTTTGGTGACAGAAGTGATAGAGGAATTTACCTTTGCCTTTGCTCAATTTCCTTTCTGCTTAAACAGAGACCTGGGCCTGGGCTGTCTCTGGCAGGGGAAAGAAGAATATTACCATTTTTTTTTACTTTGATACATCACTAAATCCATCTTAAAGTATCTGGCATATTCACCTGGAGAAACATGAGCTCTCATCCTCATGAGGACCATAATGATGGTAGTGTGGGTGAACCAACAGGGGCTTTTTTAGCGTATTCTCAGCAAAATGCCTCAAACATCATCTACATTTAAAAAACAATATGTTCCCCCCTTCATTGAAATGGTAGGATGTAATTAGAGGGACTCAAATAGATAGGCAGGGAAGAAGATAATGTTGAGAGTTAAAAAAATGCCTTGAAAAAGCAGAAATCTTCAAGTCTCTTACATAAATATTGCTGGGCATCAACAGGCCCCAAGTATAGGGGGAGGGAAGGAGCCAGGACTGACCTTCCCTCCAACACCTCTATTCGGTGAACACAAAGGGGGCCTTGAAATGACACAGTAGGCAGAGTGTACATACATCTCTGCCATTTTCGGCCATTAAAGCCCCACAGAAAAACACACTGTGTAATGAGACCTGGTGCACACAGGACAATCCCCATACACATGAAAGCTTTCAGAAACTAGAGTTTACATAAGCCATAAAAAAGCACCCCCCTCCCATTGCAGATTATGGGCAGCAGGAACCTGGCAGATCTTGACCATGGTGCCTGCGGTTTAAGCTCTCAGGGAGAAGTGTGTTAGGTTTCCATCTACGAGGGGCATTACGTGGGCAGGCACATCAGCGAAGGGTGTAGCTATGTCTGATGGAGTTATGGGGAAGCAATTATGGAGACAAGGCTCACTAATGTGGACAACTGAAGGGCAAGGGGTTGGTCATCAGGGGCTTAACCCATCCCTGGCAGAAACATAAGAGCAGCCTCTCAGGGAGGAGGGAAGGGGAGAGGCTAGGGGATTTACCCCCCAAAAAGGCACCATTCGAAGGGAGGTCTGTTTTAAAGGCGGCGACTGTCAATGACCCTTAGGACAACCCTGGCTAAGGCTCAAGGAGCCAGGGAAGCTGCTCCCTCTTCTGTCCTCCAGCTAAGCTCACCTTCTGGGGCTGGAAGAAGAACAACGCCCCTAACAGTTTGCATGATGTTAACTGCAGCCTATTCTGCAGGGGTGAGCAGTTTGCAGCACATTTCTGCAGACCCAGAGAAGGTTCTGGGAATGTCTAGTTGGGGTACAGCACACTTCACCTCACCTGACTCCAGAGGCCCCCTTAGGAGGGCAAAGAAAGAACATAAGACATAATAACTACACAATGATTGACACACAGTAGGCACTCAATAAATATTTCGGAGGAAATGAGACTAGGGTATCTTTGAATACTAACTTATCCAGTGGGCTAGACTGAGGCTTTGGAGAGGAAAGAGTTCCTCAGTAAGCTACAACTGAGACTCTTTTAGGCCTTGATTACTGTGCAGGAAACAAACTAAAATCCTAAGCATCCTTATGGTCTCAGCCTTGCAAAAACAGGCCTCTGCTAAGGTTGGGGAAAGGGATGCAGCAGGCTTCCTGGGTAGGAAGATCCAGCAGCTCTTGGCCTCCTTTCTCTGTAGGGACCTGCCCCACCTCCATTTTCTCCACCAGAAAATTAATGAGTTTCAGTCTTGCCACCATCCACTGCAGCTTGGGGGTTAATACTGAGCAGGAGATGGGATCTGTCATTGTGCCCTGTGAAGGGGGTCTCCAGGACCAGCTGCTGCTCTAGGTCTAGTGATGGGAAGGCCCCATTTGGGAAGCAGCTTCTTCAGGATGAGGGAGGGCTGGCCCTCTGCATTCCCTGATGCTTTCTTTCAAAACATTCTTTCCTCAAACCCTCACTTGTACACATTCTGTTTTTCCTTCTGTTAGGATTTTTAAAGGAATGCACCACCCCCCTTGGGTATGTACATATAGGTTACCGAGCCTCTCCCTTCCTCTGCATCTCTTGGATCTCTGCCTAAAACTGCAATTACAGCCACAAGGAGGAAGTGAGATGCTCCCAAGAGCCCTGGCCACGCTTTCAGTCCTGATGGAGCCTGTGACCCCGCCAGGAATTTGTTCCTGCTTCCCCGTACATCCCAATGACTTCTTCAAGCTTGTCAGGTGCCCACAGCTCTACAGCAAAGGATGACAAACATCCTCCTCCTCCCTTCCAACTGGCTACCTCCCTCCCCCCAAACCTCACGCAGAACACAATATACCCGCAGTCCAAGCCCTGGCACAGCCTGCCAGTCTTCTGGATGCCAGGTTATTTTTTTTTAAAGAGAAAACCAAAAGCTAAGCCCAGAACAAAAACACAGCCAAGGAGAAAGGTGTCCACCCGCGTACAATGCACCCCAAGCCTAGAGAAAAATATGCACAGAGAAGCACTCCGCAATGCGCTCACAGGCATCCCCTCCCCCCGCTTCGGTGCTTGCCGGGATCTGCAGTTCTGTCACAGAATCAGCTTCGGTTTCGCATCTCTAAGCCCCTGTCTGTCACGAACCACACACCTCCCCACGCCAAGGGCTTCTGCCCCCGGGAGCCCGCGACCCCTCCCGTCCCAAGCCGCAGCGCTGAGCTCTGCGGAGGGCGCCTTGGCTCTGTGGCTCCTTCCTTGGCGGGACCTCGCGGACCGACGGTGCTCAGCCAGCCCCATTCTTGGCATTCACCGCGTGCCTTAATTGTATGGACATTTAAATCAAGGTCCGCTGTGAACACGGAGAGAGAGGCCTTTCTCCTGAGGAAGGCAAGGAGGAAGGAAGGAAAGGCGGAAGAAAGAAAGGGGACTGGGGAGAAGATGGAACGAGGAAACAGGGAAAAATAAGTAAAAAACGGCGCGAGTGCGTGCGCACTGACAGCGAGGAAAGGGCTGGGGGTGGGGGAGTGCAGGGAGGAAAGGACCACAGCATCCTCCCTACCGCAGCTCCCCAATCACACAGACAATGAGATAACAGCGCCGTCTTCCAAAGGCTCTTTGTTCTCCCCCATCCTTTCGGGTCCAGGCTTTTTCCTGCAAAGCGGAGGGGGTGGAGGGTGTGGGTGGAAGTGGGAGACGAAGGGGTGCCTCCCCCGTGTTAATTACCCGGACTCCCCTCGCCCCTTCCCTGCGCCTCGCCTCCCCTGCAGCTCCAGACAATGAAAAAAACAACATCAACCCCACCTCGCCCCAGCTCTGCAAACCCTACCCACCCTCTTGCCTTCAGCTGTGCCCAGGAAACTGAGGGGGGCTAGGAGGGGCAAGAACAGAGCCGGGGCACCAAGAGGGCAGCAGGGGCTCGACAGCGGCTGCACGGACCGAGCAACCACCGCCGCCTTTACCTAGTCGGCCGAGTCCAGGCGCAGCCTGGCCGGGCGTGCCGCAGGGCGAGCTGCCGCGGTCCGCGGCCGGGGTCGGGGGTATCCGCCTTCCGGAACTCGCCTGCTGCAGTCCTCTCTCTCAGGTCCCAAATGGTGGAGGGAAGAAAGGAAAATAAGAAAAAAGAAAGAAAGAAAGAAAGGAAAAAGAAAAGAAAAGAAAAAAAACCCATAAGAGCGAGGCCCATCTGGCCCCTCATCAGCTTTGTCAAGTCTTGCATACGCTAAAATGCTAATGACCTAGATAGCTCATGCAAAATGCAGCAGGGAGGAGGGAGGGAGGGAGGGAGGTGGGAGGGAGGAAGAGAAAGAGTGGCGGGGGGGGGGGCAAGGGAGGAGGAGACGGAGTGGGGGGAGAGAGGGAGCGGGGAGAGAATATACGTCTTCGAAACACCCCTACCACTCTCCCTATCCCACCCCACCCCAAACTGTCAACCGGCTTTACCAGGTAAGTGGTGGGCGTAGATTTGAAAGGTCATTCGTGTCTAATGCGGCTGTCTCCCTGGGTCCAAAAAGGGAGAGGGCCGGAGGATGAGAGTCCCCAACGCCAAAGGGATAATAAGACATTATTTGAAGCCCCCTCCCTCTGTGCCTCCTCCACCTCTCCACTCTGTTTACACACAAATCCAAACGCCTCCCGTGTGTGTGCATGGACAGAGCACATTTTTATCAGTTTCTCAGCACTCCTGTGACAGTCTCCCATATTCTCGTCCCCTGCAAAACTCATCCTGTGAACTCGAAGAAGGGTTAAACACCCCCCTTCTTTTCACAGTCCCCTCGAGCTGGCCCGTCCCTTCTCCCCTCTCCCTCACTCAGCCACCCAGACAGCATCTCCGGCTTCTACTGTTTTCTAAGCCTTCTGGTCCGCAGTCTGCCCTCCAACACCCGGATCTCCACAAGGTGAGGCAGGGGAGCAGGAAAGCCAAGTTAAGTCTATCTGACCCCCCGCAATTCAGCTCCCTTTCCCAGAAAAACAAACCCAACTCCTCCCCAACAATGACAATGCTCAAGCATACCAAAAAGATACATACAATTCAGTCTGAATACCTCAGAGGTGCGCTGGGCGGACGCCCTTGGGCACTGGCGATCACTCGAATTCCGGAGCCAGCGCTCCCGTGTATCCTTCTCGCCGAGCCCAAAGTGCTTTGTCCGGGGGTCCACTCAAGGTCTTTCCCGTTTTTGTTCTTTTTAACAGACTGGTTGCAGTCCGCAGCGTTTCAGCCAGGGTTACGAAAGGCAGTAGATCTACTGGAATAAAAGGGATCGAGATAATATACATACAGATGGAAGAAGGAGAGACGCAGAGAGGCAGAGGAAGCCGCATCTAGGGAGCGGCCGCCGCGGCCGGGCCCCAACTGCTTCCTCCGCTGGGGAAGGGGCGGGCGGCGAGAAGGCGCTCGTAGTCGCTCCACCTGGCAGGAGGAGATGATAGCCATGACAAGGAGCCTCGTGACGACGGTTGTGAGCACTGTAAAAAATTCTGAATCCCCCTTTGGTGACCAGAGCTTGCGGGCAGGAGGGACTGTACTGCTAGCGGCGGCGGCCGGGGGGAAGGAGAGGAGCGCCGGAGCAAAGGTTGTGGCGGCTGCACCCTCAGATGAATAATAATAACGCACAGCGCAAGTTGCGGTGCCGCCTGGAAATCCAGCCCTCCGCGTGAACTCGCGTCGAGTGTGGATTGCAGGGGATGGGGAAGAAGGGGGAGGGGAGGGTGGAGGAGGGAGGGAGAGGAGGAAAGAGGAAGGCAGAGAGGGACAGAGAATTTGGAGCCTTTTAATTTATCCTTACCAAGCCCCAATCTCGTTCGCCGTTCTCTTTGGGTGAGGTCGATCTCCTTTTAAAAAATTATTATTCCTTTAACGGATTATTCAGCTAAAAGAAGCCACATCTGCTGACTGTACCGAAAACAAGAGGATTAGGAGCCGGTCCACAGAGCCCGGCCCGCAACCCCCCACCCCCTCTCTGCACCAGCACACGTCATTCTCACTGCCCCCGGGTACCTCCCTCTCCTTGCTCGGAGAGAGCTGTGCCAAGGAAAATGCGGATTTGGGGAAAGTGAGAAGTGGGAGCGCTCGGAAGAGCGGGAAAGCCAAAGCTGGAGGTGGTGATTCGCACCCCCACACTCGCACGCGCTTCCGTTTACCCATGTCTATCCTGGGAGAAGGGGCGCTTTCGGCGTGCCCACACACTCGGCACCTGCAGGGGTCCGTGCCCTTCGCCCCCTTAACGTAACTCCCGTAGCACCAGTTCGGGGCAGACTCCCCTTAGGTACATGGGGCGTCAAACTACACCTGGGCCCACCTCCCTCCCCTTCTTCCGAGCCTGGTCCACTCCATCTCTCCCGCTTTTGCAAATGGAGTGGGGGGCGGGGGTCTCAGGGCACTTGCGTGCCTTCCTCTTCTCGTCCCCAAGCCCGAGGCGCCGGACTACGGTTTCCGCGGACCCGGGCTCAGGCGAGGCCCAGGGGAGGGGTGTTGTTGCGGGGGGGGTGGGCGCTGCGGCGGATGCAGTTGACATCACTGCGGAGAGCTTGCGTGGCTGTCCCGCCGCTGCGGCGACCAGAGTGCCTTTGAACCTCCTCACCCCCCACCCCAGCCCCAAGCTGGCTTCTGGGCAGGACAGTGTCGGGGGTGGGAAGAAGGGTAGGTGGAAGGGGGGTAAAGTAGTCGCGTCCTTCGCCCCCCTGCAGTCAAGGTGACTGTGAAGGAGAGTGGGTGCGCGTGCCCGCGCCTCTGGATACGTGCGCGCGCCCCTCCCGGCTCCCCTCTTCCCCGCCCCCCGCGCCCCCGCCGCCCGCCCGGGCCAGATGGACGCTAGAGATTAGAGGCACAAAAGTGCGTCTCCACGTCCAGCCGCCACCCGTCCCGCGTACATTTAGACTCACTTCGGTGAGGCGCCTTTTGTTGTGGTGGTTGTGGCGGTGTTGTGTGTTTTTCTGGGAGCACGGGGTTAGTTGAGGCTTAAGGACGCACTCAGAATAAATCTGCCCATGAGAACAAAACCCTGGGTCACCCCCTGGCCCCGACGCCCCAATAAAAACCAGCACCAGCAATGAGAAATCTTCGGTCTTTCCGAAGAGTCCGTTCAGCCGTCGCTGGAGTCAACCCCAACCCCGGCGATTCCCGCACGCGCAGGGCCCATCTCTGCTTTTCCTACTCCAGATTTTCTTCTCTGATGACTGAAAAAAAAATTAAGTGTTTCTTGGGCAGCGCTGGATTCAGAGCAACGAGAGACGGAGAGGAAGACAAGTCCCTGACAGCTGAAAGCAGCTCCTCAAATCAGACGGCCCGCGCGCGGCGGCTGGAGCGATCCTGCGGGGGTCGCCGCAGCTGCGCGCCCCGCAGCGGGAAGCGTCCGACTGGATGGTGACCCTGGGCTCCTCTCGCCTCAAGGCCGTTTAGGTTCTTGTCACAATTGTTGGGTGTTTGCCCCAATAAAAGAATTAACAGCAATCTCAAAATCTCTTAGCACTAGCTTTTTGCCTCCAACGAAGTACCACGAGAAGCTTAAAAATAAGCGGTTTTTGTAAATTCTAAGAAGTGGAAAGCTTTGGTTTAAAGTGGGAGAGACAGGGAAAAGTAGAGAGAGAGGAAGAAAGAGGAGAAGAAACGAATATGAAACATACTTGCAATGCATTTTAATTTCTGGAGACTGTAGTTAGTTGGAAAGACCCATCATCTGGGACATCCCCCCCTCCCCCGCCCGGCCCCAACCCCCCGGGAAAACAACATGCTGATAACACTCCCTCCAAACTGAAATACTTTTTCTGGTGGAAGAACTATATGGGCGGTCGCTTGGCGGAGACTTCCACCATTTTGACAAGGGTTTTAGATTCAGGACTATCTGTGTTCTAGTCACTAAGAATTCCTTAAGCAGGCAGTTTCTGAACCCTTTGGACATGGAAGGATGGGGCTGCCACCTGAGTCCCAGGTTGTCTTGACTGAAGAGCGGCCGGACATACCGCTGCTGCCCTTTCCCTGGTTTTTCTTCAAGGCCTGGTTTTGTTTAGCTTGAGGACGGTTTCATTGCAGTCCTCCTGGCTGTGGCTGCAATGCAGGCTATTTGCTCTCTCATCTTGCGGCATGGGGGGAGGGGAGCGGAGAGATGGTTTTGTAACAGACTCTGCAGGCCTGAGTGGGAACGCCTTAAATGATGAGCCCCGGGTTAAAAAAGAAAAGGAGAAAAAAAAAGCAGCTGATGCTGAATTAATAGTTAGAGCAGACCCCTGGGGGCTCTCTCCAACGAGGGGGTCAGGAGTCCTTTCCCTTCCCCCAGTCACAGATTTCATATCTGTTTTTAACCAGTTTGATCAGATGCTGGGACATTTGTGATGGCTTCTTAAAACCTAAACCCTTGGGCTTAAGAGCTGTTTATGCTCCTGATCAAACTCACCCCAAATACTAACACGTTAAGAAATTACATTGTAAAACCTCCCCAAATCCGATTGACTGGGCTGTTTGGGGCCCATATGGCTGGACAGCTGTGCTGCTCCACGTGAAAAGACACCATTGCCCCTCGGATGGTATAAAGCTGGGGTTCCCCAGAGAGCTCAGACATGACCTAAGTATTAGCTTAGCCTGGGGTGAAGACTGAGTTAAATCTCTTCCTTCTTGGAGGTTAAAATAAAGACAACAACAGAAATCAAAAGAGGTGTACTTTTGAATTCATTGTAAATTGCATGCCTCCCAGCTGGTTCGACCAAAGGAAAGAACATCCAAGAAATAAACTCTCTTCTGCTTACCACAAGCAGGATGCGAGGCGAACTGAAGACACAGGAGATTGGAAAGAAATATATTATTTGCCAAGTGTACCATGTGTCGGTGACATTTGTGGTTCTCTGTTCAGAGAAGCAGGGTTCTGACCTCAGCCGATGCCTCAATGTTAACCATAAAGAACGGCCATCAGAGCGCAATTTCCATGGTGAGAAGATGAAGCTGTGCTTTAAAAAGGAAAGCCCATTATGAAATGCAGCCGGATTTAATTTTTAATATGATGGCGGATCCTCTAACTCATTCTTTGCTGGTGTTTGCATTCAGGAGGAGTGATTCATTCGGTGGCAGAAATCAAAATAACATAACACTCTGCAGTACTTTTAAACGTGCTCCTCATTTTTTTAAAGGTGTCCTGAAATAGAATATTCTATCACCTTCAAGTGGTGGTGGCCGGAAAAACTGAATACAAAACTCTCTTTTTACTGAAGGGTTCAGGCTAGATAAGAACCAGGCTTGATCTGACTGATCTATGTGTGCCTAAGCATACTGCAGGCTCCATAACCCTGGTTCTCATCAGGCCTTAACAAATATTTTAAAACAAGAAAAAAGGGGGAAAATCCTCACAAATCAATATGGAACATGAAATGGGGGAAAATACTGGTTAGAAAGACAGATTCATAAACTCTTAGTCCAAAGTCAATTAACACTGTATTGGAGAATGATCTCAATAATGAAACTACCTCCTTCCAAAGCTTTACATAAAATTAGCAGATACTGAAGTGTTTCTTTAGTGTCATTTCCCATCTTTGGAAATAGCTACAAATAGTTCTGCAGTTACTGTGGCTTTCAAAGAAAAAAAAATAGAACAATTTTGGAGATATCATTTGAATGGCATAACCCCAGAGATATTTGGTTTCCTTCTTTCTTGTATAGGAGAGGAAAATGAGGCCTAGAGAGAAGGAAAAATTGCTTCTAGAGACCACGTGGATGGTTGCAGCAAATTCAGTGGGAAAGTTAAGAACAAAAACAGTTCTCTTCATCTGTCTATTTTTTGCATATCCTATTCGAACTTGGTTTTCTAATGATTTTGGTAAGTAAAAGAAATAGCCAAATGACCCTAGAAAGTACAATTAACATGTACCTTGGATTTAATTTTGAAATTCAAATTTTGCTATTTAAGCTTCTGTAGTTTTAGTGATATTTCAGAACAAGTGTATGAAAACCCACCTTGCCAGACCCTTGTGGCCCTGGAAGAATGGGCAAGAGCCATACAAAAGTTTCAGAGCCTTTGGCTAAGTAAATTAAGCAGCACAACGAGCCTAGAAAATAATCCTATTAAAGCCAGAGCCAGAGGTTTTGAAGTAGGACCCTCAGACAGTGGTGTGGCAAACAGCACCCTTTCATGATCATTTTGGGGGAAGGATGAGGCATGTGACAAGAGTCCCTGACACATATCCAGTTTATCAGGTGGCAGTTTGTTTTGTTTCTGCATTATTTAATAAATTATTCATATCGTACAAAAATGACTCTCTCTCAAAAAAAAAGAAAAGAAAATTAAACTGTGACATAATGAAGGTACTATGTGACCTTGGGCAAATAAGTCACTTTCTTTGTCCTTGTTTCATATCCTCTTCAACATGAGATGCTTGGAATAATGACTCCTAGAGTCCCTTTCAATACAAAGAGTGTATGATTCTATTGTTTAAAAAAAAACCCTGCATGTTCCTGAGTCTGAAAGATAGTGTCTTCTTTTTAAAATCTATCGGCTGACATTGTTTGGGGCCTGAAAAGTTGAACACAGAAAGCTTAGAGAAAAGTAGTGCATGCAAGTGTGTGTATTTAAATGGCATTCATCTGAAAATACAGCCCCTCTTGATTCTTGATTTACTCTCTGGGTCAAAAAAAGGTCCCTATATGATGTGAAAGCATTTTTGTTATCCCCCTCCAAATACCTTGCCACAATGTAACTGTCTGCTGCTCATACCTTCACATAAGCAGATCCAACCTGAGCCCTGTAGCAGATTTAAAAGCTTTCCTCTTTAGCTCTATCCTGACCTAGATTGCAGGATGAAGACTAATGAATCATTTGCAATGTTTATGATGGGCATCTATGGACAAGGTTCTCCAGAAGGAAACCTGTTCCCCTTCTCATCTCGTAGTATGACAAGTAAATATTTTTGCTCAATTGTTACATAAGGCATGAGGCTGTTTCCT